CTACTACTACTACTACTACTACTACTACTACTACTACTACTACTACTTACTACCACCACGACGACAACGACGACGACTACTACTACTACTACGACTACGACTACGACTACGGCTCTACTACTACTACTACTACTAGTCTAGTACTAGTCTAAAACTACTACTAGTCTAGTACTACTACTAGTCTAGTACTACTACCAGTCTAGTACTACTGCTACTACTACTACTACTACTAGACTACTACTACTACTACTACTAGTCTACTACTACTACTACTACTAACTACTACTACTACTACTACTACGACTACTACGACTACTACTACTACTATTACTACTACTACTAGTAGTACTACTACTACTACTCCTAGTACCACCACCACCACCACCACGACGACGACTACTACTACTACTCCTGCTACTACTACTACTACTACTAGTACTACTACTACTACTACTACTGCAACCACTACTACTACTACTACTACCACCACTACCGCTACCACTACTACTACTACTACCATTACCACTACTACTACTACTACAACTACTACTACTACTCCTACTACAACTCCTACTACTAGTACATGGCCGGCCGGCCGCTATGGCCAGCCGGCCGGCCGGCCGCTCCAGGTGCCAGCCGGCCGGCCGGCCGATCAAGGTGCCAGCCGGCCAGCCGGCCGCGGAAGAAATCGCTACTACTACTACTACTACTACTACTACTACTACTAGTCTATTACTATTACTACTACTACTACTACTACTACTCCTGCTACTACTACTACTACTACTACTACTACCACTACCACTACTACTACTACTACTGCTACTACTACTACTACCACCACCACCACGACGACGACTACTACTACTACCACTACTACTACTACTTGGCTTTGGCCAGCCGGCCGGCCGGCTGGTCGCGAAATAGCAGGCCGGGTTGCCCGCGCTGTCCATTTTCCTCCCTGCGACAACTTTTCTACTTTTGATATCTTTTGATGACTTTTCTATTGAAATCTCTACTTTTCTATTGAAATCTCTATTTTGGACGACTTTTCTATTTCTGATCAATGACAGTCAGGTGCAGGAGATCCCAGACATTCCCAGACACTCCTTTGGACACTTGAGAGGGCAAGGAAGACGCCCCTGAAGCACCATTGTTGTCCCTTGCCGACAGCCCCCCGCAGCCTCCAGTGCCTCCTTCGAGATCCATCTTGGACGGGAAGCCTGATCAGCGTGGAGACAGTGAAGGACATCCGCAGATCCCTATCCGAGCCCCAGCCACTCCCACTCCCACAGCTCTAGAGTCGACGCCCTGTGGAACCCTCCAAGAGCCGTTCCAAGTCACCCACATACTGGAAGCCCCTAGGCATATATAGATCATGCATCACTGCTATACCCCCCACCAAAATTTCCCCCCCCAAAAAAAAAAAAATATATATATATATATATTAGTGCTGGGTCACATGCACTTAGGCTCCATCGGTACTTCCAGCCGAAGCGGGGTGCTCATTGAAGTGATCAAAAGAAGCTTTTGAGATGTGGATATCTGACGACCTGGCCGTTCTTTGGATATAGTTCTTGCATACACCTACCTATCTATACAGTCTATTGTAAGTCGATATATTGTGTCAAGCTACGAGTGCCTGAGGAAAGGAGCTGAGTAGCATTTTTTTTATTGCATGATAAAATTTAGATTAGACTGTAACTCCACAAGTGTTTGCGAAGGCATTTGTGTGATACATTGTGTGTAGCGAAGGCTCGCGAAGCCTTTGGCGTAGGCTGTTGGATTTCACACAGGCGAAGCCAACTCGCGAAGGCAAACTTAGAGTCTATGAAAGGTTGAATCTGGCGTGTCGGAACCGCGAAAGCATTTCGCGAAGCCTCTGGTGTTGCGCGAAGCCTCGCGAAGCCACCTTCCCACAAATTCTGACCATGCGAAACCTCCAGCGTAGGCAACCCAGCAGTGTATAAGCACTTTACCTTTTCAAAAAAACACGGCTCAGCTCAGGAAAATGTTGAAGGAAAATGGTGACTTTGGGACCATGGAGATCATGATCTCCCAGAAGAGCGTGAAGAGCAACAAGAAAACCCAACTCTGCGGTTGGTATTCCAAAGCCTACCTGGGAAAAAACCGCTGGTTGGACTAAGATAGGGCCTCAGTTTGGAATTGAGAAATTACGTGCATGCATGTTATACATGTTAACAACCTGTGGACCCAGCTACCGCATGCGCGACTAGCCGGCTGAGGCGTATGATCGAGCGCGCATGGGAATGGGCGAAGAAGAACGGCCGTTGACGAGTTAACCCAGTGCACGGGGAAGAGGAAATCAACATTGTGCTTTCGGAAACGTTCCAGTTGGAAATCGACATCGAAGAACACAAGCGTACTGGATCTTTCGAGGTTCAGGCAGGGGGGATACGATATAATTATCGAAGCTTATTCATGGCCTACCCTTCAACCACCACTTCCCAGCTCCACCCGGTGGACAGGATGAGCACGGCACGCTGCTCGAGAGTGACCTGCCAACGATTGGAGGCCCCAGCAGAATCTGCAGGTTCCGGCCAGCTGTCGGGAGAGATGACTGACACGTCCAGTTGTATGTCTTTCAAGTTGCTGTGCTCAAATACCACATGATTTAGATATCATGGTATGCTAAGGCTACGGTGTCACCGGATAGATGTGCACATCGGATCATATGCAGTCTGCCCATGCATGCATACTAAGGCTGACATTCCCAACAGTGGCCGCAAATGCTTCGCCACTATCAGCGCTTCCGGGTTTTGTCGACGTGCTCGGGCGCAAGTTGGACAAAACACAAGCCGAACTGGATAGCTAGTGAGTGCTGGTGCATGTGCGTGGGTTAGTCGCTACACTGATGTTGCACAATCTGATGTATATAAATTCTGCCATCCAACATACATGCACTATATACTGCCAGCGTGCATATGTTGCAGGACCGCCTGATGAATGTCAACACGACGCAGTCATGTACGCTTCTAGGATGCACGAACTATACGTACGGTGTTTTCCAAGGTTTAAACCCATGTCGGATAATGCATTATTAAAAAAAAAGGGAGGCCAGCTCGTGAGAACGTCTGAGGTTGGCTAAGCAGATCAAGGACTTGGTGACCAAAATGCAAGATGTCCATGACCGATTGGCCGGCCTTCTTTCCGAAGCCACTGTTCAACCCGAGACCTTTTGAAAGACTATCTAGTGTACGACTAAATCAGCTGTGCAAATACCCATCCCAACCCAATGCCTTCGCATCGATAACCAATTAAGGCAAATGAAGGCGGAGCTGCCTCAGAGTCGAGCAAGGGCAATGCTGGTTCGTCCGATGGCAAGTCGAAAACTGCCAATAAGGCACCCAAGGCCAAACCTTGTACCTAGTGGATCAGTGCGGTCCTGGCCCGAAGATGGTGTGAGCCCTTCTCCTTTCAAGTCAGGGCCAGTTGCACCGCTGTGTAAACTACTCCCTGGTGGAAACCAAGTTGTGAAGATCAGAACAGACATCGCACACACATACACCATCAATGGATACGGGAAGGACGATCTTGCAAGTGGGAAAATTTTCTGGCAGTTCACTGCTGTTTGTTGGGAGGGACCAACCTAGATCTACAGTTGGACAAAGCGTACATCGCATTCAAGGAGTGGTGCGTTTACAACAAAAAACGACATCTATACAAGCCTTTGACAAGCAACCACTGAAGATATCATCGCTGCTTGCATGGTTTTTGGCCATATCTTCGATAGTTTTTCGATTTCTGCGGTGTGCAGCTGCGTCCGCCCGTTTGGTCGCGTCTGCCCGGCTGAGGCTGAAACCATTTCCACGAGGACCGCCGCCTTGATCGGGGGCGACCAGCTGGGGGATGGGACGGAAACAATCTGACTCACTCCCGGCTACCCAGTATGAACTTACCGGTTCAATTTGCTTTTCTGTTTGGCAGTTTCTTCCAAACATCTTAGTTCAAACCTTAAATTTCACCAATTGAGGATCACTGCCGCGACGTCCTCCATGTATTTTGCTGGTGCCTATGTTCAACGAACAAGTTCTTTCGACTGATCTACGGTGAGAACCACTTGTGGCTCTCCCGAGCGACAGCACTTGAGGTTGTTCGCCACGGATGGAACATGCTCGTGTCTAGAATGCATGTTCTTAGCATGCAATGGTAGCTGGCGGCTAATTTGGGAACCCGTGCGTGTCAGGAAAGCTATCATGGATGTGCCAGTTTGGCTTCAACCATGAAGTGGAGTTGGTGGTACATACGCCCTAAGTGCCACATGATGGCGCACGTCATGACACATGTCTGCAGCAGTGTTTGCAGTACAGTAACATGCACATCCGTGAGGGTTGCACCCTTAGCTAAGTAGACCTCAAGGACGACATCCGGGGTGCCCAATGGTGCCTCGATCCTGGCTGCCTGAGCCTATTTTTTGAAATGCAGCTCAAGATGATCAGTGCATGAACTGTAGTGCCATATGAGTAGTTTATCAATAGCACACACTCTGAGGTTCGGCAGAGTTTCACGCAGCGCTAGGAAGCAACACGCTATCCAGCTAAGCTGGACCACCATCCAGCGATGCTTGATAGCCTACAAAAAGAATGGCAGGCAAACTGCTCGCTGGGCTGAGGGCCAAGAGACGCACTGTGCTAGTGCAGGCATGTGTGCGTGTGTGTGTGTGAACCTAGTTTGAGGTTATGTCCGGTGAACTTAATGTTTGCCAACTGGTCAACGCACAGAAAAGGATCAAACGTGCACTTGTCACTTTTCAGTTAAACGAGCGTTTTTCATCTCGAACGCATGTGTGTGTGTGTGTTCATTTGAAGGTCTATAGGCTTCTTTCTCGACCGTGAATCAACGTTCAGTTCGTGGTGCTTTCAACATGCTTCCCATCCAGGCCTCTCATGGCGCAGCGCCCTGCCACCGGCCTTTCTGCCAGCGGCCATCGAAGATCTGTTGCAGCGAGGCCAGGGGAAACTTCCGTTGGCGATCGTAGCGCACGAGGCCATTCTTCTCATACTCCACGTCGTAGAGCTGTGTACAACAGAAACCGGTATAGTCTTCTGCGTTGTAAATCGCTTGGGTGAGTCCACTGATGCGTTTCAATGCTTCCTCCATGTCCGTGGGCAGTTGCCCCTCCTTCGAGCGGCCGGCATAGCCTGCTAAGAGGTGCGAGGGGTTCAATCCATAAGGTCCTCCCAAATCCAGCGCCACTCCAGCATACTCGGCCACGAACAAGGGTTCTCCTTGGCGCCCCTCCACTAGATGTTGAGGCATGGCTAAACGATCCTTGGATGTGCTGTCCAGGAACTGGGAAGAGAATAAACATGAATATTCCCCAGCTTTGGGGATCTAAGCTTGGGGAAAATGCCAAAAATCATGCAATCCGCAAAAACCAGGCAGGGATCTGAGAACTGCTTGGGACGTTGTTCGTAGTCGTGGAAGGACCACAAGTCGGTGTCGATGTGGATCCATCCGCTGGAATCATGGACCTGAAAGCTGAAACGAACCAATATGGCCCTCTTGGGGGCAGGGGGGGAACCAAGCAGAAACCGGGAAGATGTGAATCATGTGAATGATAGTCAGAGCCTTCATGGCTGCCACGCTCCTTCCCAATCACGCCCAGCACACCTTTTGGGAAGAAAAACTCCCGGCCACCCAGTAGCAAAAAATGAGAAAGAACCAACGAGGAACAAACGGCCTGGCCGAGGAACGGGTCGCTTTTGAAGATCCAACTGTCGGGTTTGCTGCACCACACGTCGCACGAAGCTCCGGTGCTTCTCCACCTTGCGCCGCCGCGTCTCCGCGTCGTAGCGGTGCTGGAAGCCGCCGCCCACGCCCCGGTGGTGATGCCAGCCTCGGCAGTCTCGGCCCAGCTGGAACCATGGAGCACCGGGTTATGGGGGAGGGGGAAGGGGGTGAGGGCCCAAAAGGTGTGTCACTTTGAAGAACCAGAGGGTTGTGTCCTTTCCCTCCTTTGACCTTTTCCTGGCATGCGCACAAAAAACAAGACGGAACTCACGAACCCGAATGCCACGTACTCGAAAACAAACACCCAAACAATTTTTTGACACTCTTGTAGGAGACACTTTTGTGGGACACCCTTGTAGGACACATGCTTTTCGGAAACCTTTGTGGGACACTCTTGTGCACTCTTGTGGAACACCTTGTATGACACTCACTCTTGTGGGGCGGTCTTGCGGAACACTCTTGTAAGGACACTCTTGTCGACACTCTTGTGGGGCACTCTTGTAGGACACTCTTGTGGGGCACTCTTGTAGGACACTCTTGTCGGACATTCTTGTGGGACACTCTTGCGGGACACTCTTGCGGGACACTCTTGTGGGACACTCTTGTGGGACATTCTTGTGGGACACTCTTGCGGGACACTCTTGTGGGACACTCTTGTGGGACACTCTTGCGGGACACTCTTGTGGGACACTCTTGTGGGACACTCTTGCGGGACACTCTTGCGGGACACTCTTGTTTGTCACTCTTGTGGGCTTCTCTTGTAGGACACTCTTGTGGGAAAGTCTTGTAGGACACTCTTGTGGGACACTCTCGTAGGACACTCTTGTGGGACACTCTTGTGGCACTCTTGTGGGACACCGGGACACTCTTGTCGGACACCCTTCAACGACACTCTTGTAGGACTCTGTGGGACACTGCTACTAAAGTCTCCAAAATCAACCGTCACATCTCCAAAACGAGCGCTTGGCACAAGACTTCCTCCAAAAGTCACACGTCAAGACTGCAAAACGAGCACTTCGCACGAGACTTCTTCCAAAATTCACTCGTCAAGTCTCCAAAACGAGCGTTTCATACGAGACTTCCTCGAAAAGTCACGTGTCAAAGCCTCCAAGACGAGCGTTTCGTACGAGACTTCCTCCAAAAGCCCCATCGGAGCACACACACACACATCAAGCAGCCCTGCCAAGCAGTTTCGTGATTCCAGCCCCTCCAAACAGCGCCCGCTCACCAATGTCACAGCGACATTCACCTCCACCACAACTCGCAACCTCACGATTTCCTGCGCCTGCCACGAAAATTTACGTGTCCACACGTCTAGCATGCACAAAGTACTTCGCCTGCCACGAAATGCGACCTCCGCCACACCTAGCAACCTCACAATTCCCTGCGCCTGCCACGAAAATCGCACTTCCACACCTGAAAACCCGCGCACGAAAAGTGACAATATCATATCATGTAATAAGCTTCCACAAATTTTGCACCACGCCACACGTTTGGAATGATTTCGACCCATTCTGAGCACACTCCCACCCACCAAAATCACCATTTCAGCTGACGTCACGCTTCCATGCAAAACCCTCTCCAAACGCTTCCCCCAATGGCAGCGGCGTCGCTTGACAACGGTTGCGAACGCTGAGACAACAAGTCGCGAACAAGGCTCTGCCCCCAGACCCCCAGAGTTAAACGAGGACCCTTCGCCACGCATTCGGGAAAAAAGTTAAACAAAAAATCACCTTCTGTGAACGCGGAGGTTTTTGTTTCCAGGCGTCCGTTCTTGGGTCCAAACTCATTGAATGGCCCCCAACAGCAGATCGAAGGATGGTTGTGCAAGTCTTTCACGGTTCTCTTCCACTCACTGGTGAGCAGGTCCTGATATTCATCCGAGACTTCCCAGCGGTTTGAACAACCGCCGTTCCAATCAGGGAACTCACAGAAGACCATGAATCCTAGCTCATCCGCCAGGGAGAAGTAGAGCGGTTCAAAGACCTTCTGATGTAATCGCGCTCCATTGAAACCTATTTCCCGTGCCAACTCGATGTCCCTTCTCAAGGCCTCCACAGAGGGAGCAGTCCACAAACCTTCAGGGTAATAGCCTTGGTCTAAGACCAGCCGTAAATATTGCGCTTCGCCATTCAACAAAATCTGATCCTTGTGGATATGAATGGTGCGGAGGGCCGCATAAGAGATCACCTATCAGGCTGTTTTTTTGCGCGGCAACTGCCAAATACCCTTTGAAAATACTACGGAACATGGCAGAACCAACCCTACAGGCTTAGAAAAGGCCTTCCTTGGACCTCAAAGGGGTGGAGGATCAAAAGAAAAACGCAGAAGGATCAACAACAACAGAAACCCAAAGAATCAAAAGAAATACACACAGTGGCCAACAACAAAACAAACAATTGCGATCTTGCAGCAAAAAAGGACAAACGATTATCAAAATATAACAAGCAAGGATCTTAAAATAGATAAACAGTAGTAGTAGTAGTAGTAGCAGCAGCAGCAGCAGTAGTAGTAGTAGTAGTGTAGCAGGGTGGTAGTAGTAGTCGTAGTATTGGTAGTGGTAGTGGTAGTGGTAGCTGTAGTGCAAACAATGCCATGCACGTTCCATGCCAATTTCATTGCGGTGCTGTACTTAAAATAAGTCATTTTTCCGACCAACGCAGAACGTAAAAGTTGCCTTAGCCTCTCGCATCTGTCTTGGTGGCTTTCTTTCTTACTTTAATTATGTCTTTGGTTTCGTGCTGTCTAAAGAAAAGTTGTTTCTGTATTTTGTTCTTGCTGTTTTCTTTCTTTCTTTCTTACTTTCATTTTTTCGTTGGCTTCGTGCTTTCTTTCTTGTTTTTATTTTCTTTTATATATGTTTCTGTGATTTTCTTTGCGATTGCTTTGCTTTGCTTTTCTTTTCCTTTCTGTCTTTCCTTCCTTCCTCTCCTAAGTATTGTTTCCTGATGCCTGTTTGTGATTTTCTTGATCCCTACTTTGATCCCTATACTTGTTTTTTGTTGATCCACCCAGTGCTTTCGGTTCCATTCGGAACCCACCCACCTCATCCACCTCCTGCTCGTCGTCGCCCGCGGCGCGCAAAGAGAGCTTCAGTCCATACAGATGCGGCCGCTGCGGGCTCCAAAGCTGCACCGCCTCCGGCGGAATGCTGAGGCACACGGCGCTAGACGCACTATCGCCCTCGCCCGGAGGGAAGGTGCAACGGGTGGAGGCCACGGGTGGGTCCACACAGGCGCGCGTGTGGTAGAGGGTGGCGTCCAGCACCGCGGCGCGCGCGGGGTCTTCTCGGCAGATCTCCGGAAACAGGTGCAGCGACCAGCCCGAGCCGTCCGGCTGGGCGGTCATGGGTGCACGCAGCAAGTGATGCTGTGAAGGCACGGCTTCGAGCCAGACCGATTGCCAAATGCCAGTCACGTTGGAGTATAGGGTTGGTTGGTGTTTCTTGGTGGTATCATAGCCCTTCACCAGTTGCTTTCCTTGTGGCAAGCCTTGAGGTGAGGCCAAGTCTTTGCACTTCACCATGATCGTGGCGTGAACATCCTCGCTCGATGGGTTTGCACTCGTTCTCCTCCTCTTCCAGCTGTGGCTCACAGCTTTGGTCACATCCCGCGTGATCCTCGTATTGCCCCCCCCGGTGGTCTTTCAAGGCCTCGCCATTCACGTAGACCTGACTCCAGCTGTCGCAGGCGCCGATGTGCAAGAGGAGTCGCCGAGAGCCGTCGAACCAGCTTCGGGGCACCAGGACGTCCTTGCAATACCACAGGGCCAAGTCTTTCCGCAGGCCGGGCGCCAGAGGCGGCTCCTTCAATCCCAGTGACGCCTTCCTCTGAGCACTCAGCTGAGCCAAAGCGCCCGACAAGGGCGCTTGCAGGCAGAAGGGCACCAGAATCCTCGGATTTGGAAGCTGGAAGCTGGAAAAAAAGGGTGCCAACTATTCAGAAAGAAGATTCTGACCCAGTTCGGGTGAAAAAAGCAAAAAGCACCCGAATCCCAGAATCCCAGCCGGGCATCTCTCCATCCCACTGGCTGGGGCATCCGGCCTTGTCCTCACACACCGCGAACTTCCAGAGACCGTTCAAAGTCCACCACTTCGCTCGTGCGAACTGCGGCCGCGGCGTCTCCGGCCGAGCGGCAGACGACGCCATCGGGCCATCGGCGGCTCCGGGGGCGGCTGTGATGCTGCTGTTGCTGTCTGTGCTAGGTCAAATCTCGAGCTTCCAATGTTTTGTTTGCTGAGCCCATGTTTTCCCATGGTTATGTTTAAAATCCCCTTCTGGTGAAAATCTTTGTGTGGTTCAAGCTTCCTGGATAGCAAATCCAAGGATTCTTTCCATCCAAAGCACTGCTCGGCGTGGACTCCGGGCGTCGTGCGCCGTGGTGAAGCTGAAACGGCGCGCGGGGGAAGGAGGGTGGACCGTTGGAGCTTGGGTGTGCTGCTTGATGTGCCGAAGCCACGGGTGTCATGGCAGTCCTCGTCCTTTCTTCGCTCACAGCTCTGCTGGCTCGCTGGGACGTTGAAAGAAATACGCTTGGGAGGACGCTTCGCCGGAGGGGCCCGGGCGGGCGCTTCGGTAGTTGGTAGCTCGTCGAGGAGGAAGAGATTGTTCAGAATCCACACCAAAAACCAAACCCCCCCCCCAGAAGTGGAAAAGTCATAGCATGCGTTGGTCAGAAATGGCAGCTGTGAACGCATGCAAGTCTAAATTCCATGCGTTTCGACTTTCATCCTCTTCGGCGAAGCGGAGTTTCAGCTGAATGAGGCAAGGTGATTCAGTCCTCAAGGTTGCGTTCTTGGCTGAGCCCACGGGCCCGGGCAAAGCCAGCTCAAAGTCCATTGCCTCTCTGAAGCCTTCTGTTCCTAATGTTTCTGTTTCTGATCGGAGGGATGTTTGTCCTGGACGATCCTTAGAGCTGGTTCCGAACATTGGAACTGCATGGAACATGGTATTTTGCTGGCCCGCTTCGACCGCCGCATCCATTCCCAAAAGAACGGATGCCTCGGTCTCTTCAACTCACAACCTTTGTCTTTCGGCATTTTAGCCAAAAAGGGTCCAGGGTTACACAGGCTGATCGACTCTGATGTCGCAGATCTGGCACGCATCCCTCGTGTCCTTCAAAGCCGAGCATGCTCGCAGTCTTCTATTAGATGGTCTGAGTTAAGGCGCGACGACGTGAGTGTGCTAAAAAAAAAAGGGCTGCGATCCAGGGGCTTTTGGGGGGCTTCCTTGGTGCATCCAACAAGGAAGCCCAGAGCGCTCTGAGTACTGCAGATGGTTTCAGTGCCTCCCAGGGGTGGGACGTTCCACATGGCGAGTCTCCGGAAGTTCCAAGAAAACGACCCCCCTTAAGGGAAACCACTGGCTGCAAAGCCGAAAGAATCATAACACTGGCTACAAGAGCCTGTGATACTGATCTGCTGTGCCTGTCAATTTACCTCTTTGCATCCCCGCTATGTTGGCATTCTACTTTGGCAAGGTCGAGTTTGATCAGTCTTAGCCTTGCTAAGCGATTCTCTAGCAGGCTTCAATTGCAAGTCAAAAAGGGTCGCTTCACCGTCGTCGCCTGAACACGAACGCAAGGAAGACGACGAGCGCAGAAATATGCGAGTGGTGGGGAGAGTGATGTGAGTGTTTTCGGTCGATCTATGACTGTCGATCTATGCTTGCCTCAAAAATCTAGGCTTTTGGAAAGGCCTTTTGGGAAACCTCACCCCACCACCGGATGCTGAAAACGTCAGATTTGACCAAACTCACCTGCTCGAGTCCTCTCGCCTTTCATGCCAAACTTCGCGACGAGCGATGCGTCCTCCTGGGCTTCTCGTCCGTCGCGTCCGAAGGGCCAAAGTGAGTTCCGACGTTCGGTTCCGCCCGAAACGTCAACATGTCGGTTTTGTTCTTGGAACCTGCTACAAGGTTTTGTTATGCTGTGACAAATATGCTTTTCTTGCGGCAGGCCCCATGTCTATAAAAAGATCTCCACAAACATCATGCGTTGCTATCTCTCACTATTTTGCTGCTCACTTGAACGAAATCAATCAATTGGTACCTACATTTGAACGGTCCTACCGTACGCCTGGCATGCGCAGCATACGTCGCACGCGCCGCGCCCAGTCTGTGCCATGAAGCAATACTGGCGAGGCCAAACGATGACTGGCCATGACTGGCCCTGACTGGCTGCATCCTCAGGAAGGAGGCAAACCAGGCAAAGGTTTTCCTTCCTGTGTCTTCCACAAGTTTGTCCCTGTTTGACCGACGAAATGTTGTCTCACTCTGAAAGGATGAACTTCACATCATCAGGTGCAAAAAAAGCAGGAACACAATGGAACACATCACCAAGCTTCATGAGTGGTACACGTGGTGCACCACGTGATGCACGGTATGGAAGCTGCCACCGGAATGGAAGCTGCCACCGGCATGGAAGCTGCCACCTGCCGCTGCAGCAGCTGCCGCTGCGCCGGCACCTGTCAAGGACCAGCTCGAAGCACACGCGATGCGCCTGCTGATTCGCTCGTACGTTGTTTCAGATGGTCAGAAGAAGCTAGTAGTAACAAGTGCATCGCTAGTAGTAACAGGTGCATCGCTACTAGTAACAAGAAGCTAGTAACTTATCTTAATGCTTGTTTCTACTAGCTTATTGTTTCTACTAGTAAGGCACTTGTTACTAGTAGCGATGCACTTGTTACTAGTAGATCAAACAGCGGAAGAGAAACTCTTACACGAGTCTGTCCGGCATAAGATTCTCTCCGTTTCTCTGTCATCCGCACATGCTGCAGTAACTTTCCCTTGGCGCCTCCGTCTCCACAACCCAAGTGCTGATTGCTGCAACACCAAGACTGCGGCAGGAAGCTGGTGTGGTTTTTCAGGGGCAATGAAAATCACAGCTAGTGGATTCCACTCAGGGAGTCCTCTGAGGCTGTGCTTACAAGTTCCTAGTCGCTGCTTTCAGATTGCAGTGGCTCTCGGATTTGGAGATGTCAATGGTGCACAGCTCTGAAAGCTCCCTCGCCACTTCATGCAGAAGCGATGACTTCCAACCTAATAGCGATGGCCTCCACCCTAAGAGCAATGGCCTCCAACCTACTAGCGATGGCCTCCACCCCAAGAGCGATGGCCTCCTGGCCTCCAACCTACTAGCGATGGCCTCCAACCTGCTAGCGATGGCCTCCAACCTAATAGCAATGGACCAATGATGTACACTGGCTCTGAAAGCTCCCCTGCCTTCTTTGGACCAGACCAACCGATTTGCCAGTTGTTGAGCCCTGCATGGCAATCATATGGGAGCTTCGTGTGCACTCCGCCAGCTGCATGAACAGTCTGCCAGGTCCAATAGCCGTTCACCTCCAATCCAATCAAAGTCAGCATGGCTTCACGCATGATGCACGCGAAGAACGACAATAACAAGCAAACACTGTATATAATTTGAAAGCCACGAGGCAATCATCTAAGACCAGCCTGCACGTGCTTCCAAATCATGCCGAAGCCAGGATCCACACTCGGTGGGCTGGAGCCTTCGCAACCTTTGCCCCGCTTGGTGCAGCACCAATGCTTCTTCTCTGGTGACCATGCCTTTGTTGGCACTCAAAAACACTCGGAACATCAAACATGCTAGTACCCACTTTCAGTCCATGCAACGGCGTGCCATGTTTTCTTGGTGGCGCCAAGTTGCGCGGAAGAAATTGTTCAAAGCCGCATTGCAGTCGAAGGGGTCTTGACCAACAGCATGGACTTCACAGCCCGCTTCCTGCAAACATAAGGTTGGGGCAGGTTTGGGTTAACGAGTCTGTATCTGCCCGAGATCATGGATCATGAGATGTGCACAATCCAAACACCTCAACCCCATCCTGGATGGAGCATGCACGGCAAATGTCACACTCCACCTGCACCTTGCTGTAGGCCAACTCGCAGCCGTTGGCCTCGTTGCAACATGCGGATCCCTGAAAATCGATCTGAAATCGATCTGTGGGCCTCGAGAGGAGTGTCATGGTATCTCCCATTCCCTCCAGTGGATGGTGAGCAAACCGTTTTTCTCAACCAAACCGTTTTCTCATCCTCTTCACTGTTCGACGGTGCCGGACCAGAGTGTCCCCAGGCACCAGGACCGGAACACTGATTTCATCGATCCACGTGTCTCTTCCACCGATCCACCGGTGAAGGGTCTGGTCGCTGTGGCGCGCGCCTTATTGCCAAAGACGTGCTCTTTCGTCCAATGGATGCGATCAATGCACTTGGACGTCTCCCCTGGGCGGCCGCTTCGTCTCTCACGGCGCGAAGTGACGATGTGTGGACATAAGGAGTGAAGGACGGACCGTTCGACTTGACACAGTATGCATGGAGTCTTCGAAGACTCCGGTGAATCACCGGTCGACCTTCCAAAAACGGCACGTCTGTCAGCCCACCAGCTGGGGCCTCTACCCGAGCTGGATCCCATCATGCGGTGCAGAACACACCAGCCGGAGTCGCGTGCAGCTCGCGGAAGTCGCGGAATCGCTCGCGCCTGCGTGAGTGCAGCTCGCTTGGCATTTCAAGGCCGAAAGAGTCGTGTGAGGGCAGCCTTTCTGGAAGTTCTCGCAGCACCTGAGAAGCTCCGAAACGGGGCGTCCGAAACGCATCGACGAGACCGACCGCCGCACCGACTGCCGTGTCTGCGGTCAAGCGACCAGGATCGTTTGTCTGCAGCCCAGGCGTCTTCCTCGGGAGAGGTGTGGCTTCAAGTCAAGCCAGGTAGTAGCAAACATACTGACATGCTCCAACGAAAAGGAACCAAGAAAAAAAAGAACAGAACGATATCCCGATCCAACCGCCCACCGTCCGCCGAGCCACCCCCCCAGCAGTGCAATGGAACTTCACGCAACCCCTGCTTTGATGATGGCAGCACCAATCCTTCTTGGAGTCCGACCAGCCGGTCATCCAACGCGAGAAGCCCGCGTTGCAGTCGTAGATGCGACCCTGTGCATGTCCCACTCCATGAGCGAAGCTGTGCACGTGAAGGTGATAGCTGCCATGCCAAGATCCAGGACATCCCATTCTCATGTTGTCACAGCACCAAGACTTCTTGTTCACAGACCATCCAAAGTACCAGTTGGAGAAACCGGCATTGCAGTCATAGTGGAACTCAGGCCGGGGAGGTGGTGGTGCTGGATCGTGCTGGACGATGACATGAGGAGGAGCTTGCACGTAGTGGGTCTTGTAGACCACGCGGGTCTCAGGGCGCATGGGCACGGGCACATGGAAGATGTGTCCCGGTTGATGATGCACATCCCTCACGTGCTCGACCACCACTCGGTCGCGGGGCGTGTGGTCAGGACATCCGCGTCCATACTTGTCGCAGCAGAAGGCCTGATGCGACGGGTTCCAGAGGTTCTGCCAATCGTGGAGTCCGGTGAAGCAATCCGGTTCTTCGATTGGGTTGGAACCAGGAGCTCGATGCAGGTAGTGATACAGGAGCACGCCTCAACACACGATGGGCAGCGAGGTCGTAAAGAGCTAAGATTGGCGGATGGTTTTTCGCGCTCTTCGGATGAGAAAATCCACATCCGAAGACCAAAGATGGTCTACTTCCACGGCCCTATTTCGGGGAGCTGGCTGCCAAACCACCTCGTCCTTCCCAAAAACCAGCTGGCAGAACACCACGAACCCGAATTCACCTCCCCGCTCACCGCTCACCACGCTGCTCACCGCTTCGCTCGACGCTTCGCGTCCGCGCTTCGCTCGCGCTTCGCTGCGCGCAGCGGACCGAATCCAAGGCACCCAGGATGGAGAGGATGGCCAACGCGATCAATCCGATGCAGCAGACGCGGACCCTGCGCGGTGCGGGTGTTCCGTGAGCCGTGAGCCGTGAGCCGCACGGGGGGGCCGCACAGGCGGTTTTGGTGCCCTCTTCTTACGGGAACAGTTCTTGTGCCCCAATTCGAACTGGCAATGGATTCCTAACGACGCTTGGGAGGGTTCAGAACAAGCTCCAAGCCACCGAAGACGCCTCTGGAGAAATGGACTCATTTCCTCCATCCCCGAGAGAGGTGGCGATTGCTCCAACACGTCCCCGACCGGACGCGCCCACAGTCGGAAGAACACAGGTCCAACTGGACGCGCCCCCGGTCGTCCATACCGTCGACACGTTCGGACGCTCGGACGTTCGGCTTTTTGGGCTGACACCCAACACGGACCGATCCCTACCCTCCCATCAACGTCCAGTCGTCCGGCGTCCAGCCGTCCGGCGTCCAATCCACTGTAGCAGTCCGGTCTGAACATGGAGGCCATCGCCAGTTGGAGGCCTATGAACTTCGACGGTTTAGGCCACCGAGACCCTGGTGCTTGCGGGTGCTTGCTTGGTGGGACGTGGGTGCGGGACGGCCTTCCGGGCCCTGCGGACGGCCTCCAAGCACCGTAGGACACTGAGACCTGCTTCTCCAAGTTGCCCTTTCCTGGGTCGATTTGACCGTCATGATCTCCCTATCCCAGACACGACTAATGGGACTGCCATAGGACTGCCGAGCGGCATCTGTAGCATACATGGAGTGTCTGGGTGTACTACTTAGTACGTTTAACGTGCGAAGTGATCAAGAAATGGAACTCTGAGGAGAAAATGACCCTGTGATGTCCATCTCCACATGTCCCACATCTTCTGAAGTATGCGCATCCATCTTGCCAAAGTGCCACCACCGACGTATTCCACATTGGTCTCCTCACTGCGGGCCGACGGCCCCGGACGTAGGGATGAGGGATGGGACGACACCTACCGACCGGAGAAGTCAAGGTCGAGCATGTTTGGAAGGGTTTGGTCTGGCTTTCTAAGGTCAAAGTCCTGAGCAAAAAAAGCCCAAGGAACATCCCTTACAGCTAGAAACAGGCTGTTTCCTCTGAAAAAGAATTGGTCGCAAACCATAGGTCGCTTCAGGCTGATGCAACGCCGTTGACGGCGGATGTCATGTCCTCCTTTCACCTGCGGAACCTGCTCCGGGCGAACTGGGAGTCAAAGACCATAAAAAGAATGGTCTGACTCGGTGACCCGAGTCTAGGAATTTCCTTTACTTCAGTCAGTCAACATATAGTCTTTGGACTTCTAGGTATATATAACATATAAATACTCCAACCGTGTTCTTGGACTTCTCCCCGCCTCGACTGCCCCACGACTTCCGACTGCCCGGTGCTCCTGGGAGTAGGAGCCGCGGCCCTCGCCCACGTAGGCCCAACGCTCCTGTGTTTGCACCGCACTCGGGTCACCTGGCAGAAGCGGAGCGAGCGCGAGCGCGGTGAAAAGAACAAGGATCGCGGTGCGAGGGACGCAGTGAGTTCGATGGAACGGGAATCCTTGCAGGTGGACGAACTGAAGATCAACTTGGAGCCGTTTTGGAAAACGCTCTCTGCCAACCGGTCACTTCAAAACATGCTCCAAGCGTAAAGACGTCCATATTATAAAGGTGAAAGAAACGGAGGAAAAAGGGAAAAACGATACGGGTCTAATTATCAAGAAACGTTTGAAACGTTCTATTCTCTTACTTTGCTCGCTGCGCGCCTTCGAAGCAAACCTGGTAGCAGCCCAAGTCCCCCTCGACACTTCCCTGAACTGCACCTGGCAGGGAAAAACGAAAGAAAACATCGGTTTTTCACATGTTTGGCGAGCGCTTGGGTCATCCCAGATCCCAAACTCGCGTTGCGAGTCGACCGGTGAACCAAGTCGTGCGACCCGTCGCCATGGGCCAGCTGCAGATTAGCTACTAATAGAGATGCCCTTGTTACTAGCGATGCCCTTTGCGACTAGTAGCTTCTTGTTACTAGTAGCAAATGCTGTTCCTTTCCTTTAGTCAAGACTTGTCCAAACTTGCACTTTTACGGTTTCAGAGTAACATCGCCCCCCTAAGTTGGGTAACCATGGACCTGGATCTAAAGGACATCTTGATGTCTGAGCCGTCGAACCTCCGAAAGCACTGGATATTCCCTTGCTATATGTACGTACCTCTTGTTCGTCTTTGTTCAAAATCTACGCCGGTTCACCGGCTGTTCTTTTTCCGCAAGGATCCACCACAACGAGGGAGTATATGTCTCTGTGTGGTGCCCTTTATCGTCCCCACTGGTCGTTGATGTCTCTTTAGGCCTCCAAACCCGTATATGTCATTTCTGGTTTTCTTCCCTTCCCTTCCCTTCCCTTCCCTTCCCTTCCCTTCCCTTCCCTTCCCTTCTTCCTTTCTTTCTTCAAACTTTAGGCTTTCCTTTTGCTAGCCCTTCTACTCCATTTCTTGACATGAGACTCCTACATTATAGTTCCAAATGGTCATGGCCATTAATAACTCCCAACAAGTGCCAAATACCTTTGAACGAAGAGTAAAACTAAGCTAGCACTTGGAGCTTCGAACTGGTGTCACGTTTGGACGATCTCGACCTCGCGGGTCAGGAAGGTCCACCCCGAAGCGAAGCTAGCGGTGGCCAAGCCGAAGCCCGTTACTCGTTACCGAGCTCGTCTCCTTTTTGTCCCATCCCGCCTTGGACCATCGCGGGAAGAAAACTCACTCGGAGCGGCTCGTTCGGAGTTCGAAGTTTCTGAGCTCGTTAGAAGCTGCAGTCAGAAGCCAGGGCCGCAAGGGGTTTGGTTTGGGGGTTCCATGATGTTCCATGCCATGTGGATCAAGAATCAAGGTCGTTATTGAGGTCACAAACGAGATGCTTGCGGCCGTTGTCCCTTCCGGCAGAAGGAGGGGAAAAGAACGAGGTCAGACGAGCTCAGAGAGTGCTTGGCTCGGTTTTTCTTCGATCGCGGAAATCGCATTGGATCCATCAACGGTCTTTCTTCCATGCCGCTTTTCGGCGCTAATGGCCTGCTCTGCCACAAATCCCTCCCTCCCCAGGGGGGGCCGGGGAAAACCGAGGTCGCCGGAAACCACCGAGGTAGAAAAAACAGCTGGACCACATACTCAGCAAGCTCGCCAAATAGCCAACAAACCAGATTAGCTCACCAAATGGATCCAAATGGCCCTTCACACCCTTCCTGCGACCCCTTCTCCGGCCTCCCCCCAAAAAATAGGTCTCCGTTCCCCCCCCTTTCGGAAGCATCATTCCGAAGGTGTGAGGGGGGGGCCGGACGAAAAGCCGACGCCGCCCACATCGTCCGTCCTGGGCCGTGCAGGGACACGCATCGGTGCCGCGGTGGGTGGTCCCCCCCTATGTCCCATCCGGTTCCACTCCTGGTGCCACGCGGTCATCTTGGAATGGAAGGACTCCCTCTCGATCGATCTGGGAATGCATTTGTCCCGCGAAGTCCGGGTCTCTCGATGCTCGTCGTCCCTCTCCTCTCACCGTCCAAGGGTCAACATGTCTTTCGAACGGACGGCGGACGGCGAGCGTTAGGCCACATCGCAGGCACGTACTCGGGTTTTTTTGATACTCGGGATGCTCAGAATCATTCAGAGAACATCTCAATCTAACTGCCTCTCTCAAAACGTCGAACATCATGAACATCCACATGGCGACATCCTGCGACATCATGCTACACCATCACACCTCTTCAATTCAAAAAAATGGAACCAAGAGAGAGTTGCAGGGAAGAGCTTTAAGGGAAGAGTTGTGGAGTTGATTGCAGTTGATTCGGAGTTGATCTTTGAATGACCTGCTCTCAAGACCCGGTGGTCTTTTTCTTCTGTCTGTTCTGGAGGGGAGGGTGCATGATGATTTCAGAAGTCGTCCGCACACGGGGGGGCTGGGCTTTTGACACGAAGCTGCGCCGAGTTTCAGTGGTACACGTGATGCACCACATGATGGACGATGTGATCCCCACCGTGGTTCCAGCTGCCGGATTGGACATCCGTGGCAGCACCTGCAGCAGCTGGGGGATAACACACTGAGCGAGCGAAGAGCATGCATTTCACTCTCTCTCTCTCTCTCTTTCACTCGCCGTCGCCTTCAATTGTTCTATGATATGCTGTTATCGCAAGCTGTTTCAAGGTGCAGTGCTCAAATGCCTTAAAATGCCTAAAGTTAAGTTTAAAAACCAGAACAAAATCTCAAGGACATCTAACATCTAACCCAACAAACCTGCACAAGTTCAGAGCGTTTGAACGCTTTCGACTTTCGTCTCTTTCGACTCCAGCAATCCTCCACAGCCCAATTGCTGATGGCTGCAGCACCACGACTGGCGAAACCGATCGTTCCGAAGCGATGAAAAGAACACATCGAAAAACGGGCGCCAAAGGATGACCAAGGGAGGCTGTTCTTGGGAGTTAAGATGAGAAGGGGATGAACAGCATCAACATGGACATGGGCTCCGACCGAAAACTGTTGCGGTGTGGGCACGGCCGTCTGTCGGGTCGCACCCGCTGTCTGTCGTTGGTTCCGGTCGCACCAACCAACAACGGCACCGGTCGCAACACCGTCATGCGTCTCTCAGTGCGTCTCTCAGCGCCTCCCGGGAGGCCGAAGGGTCAACCCACCCGGCGGCCGATGTCTTTGAGTCCGACTTCCCCAGTCCGGCGGTGGAAGCGCTCCGGTGGCGAGAACATCGAGTGAGAACTTGACCCGGATTTTTCGGAATCCGGGCTTTTTGGAGGAGTTTTTGGTCCGTCCCCTTCCTCGGAGTGAAAAAGGAGGCACCCCTCACGTGCAGTTGGTCATGCAGTGGGTTCAGAGTAGATGGCACAATCCACAAGTTTGTTGGTTTGCATGGACCCCCACGACACCACGTGTCGTTCCGGGTTCGCCTGCTCAAGACGGGTCATTTTCCGGTGATGTCCGGCCGGTGGAAACCGGGTGGTCTCGTTTCCGGCGATGCCAACCTAAGAGGTCAGAGTATCTTCCAAATCTCCCCCGCCTTCTTTGGACCAGACCAACCGCTTTGCCAGTTGTTGAGCCCTGCATGGCAATCATATGGGAGCTTCGTGTGCACTCCGCCAGCTGCATGAACAGTCTGCCAGGTCCAATAGCCGTTCACCTCCAATCCAATCAAAGTCAGCATGGCTTCACGCATGATGCATGCGAAGAACGACAATAACAAGCAAACACTGTATATAATTTGAAAGCCACGAGGCAATCATCTAAGGCCAGCCTGCACGTGCTTCCAAATCATGCCGAAGCCAGGATCCACACTCGGTGGGCTGGAGCCTTCGCAACCTTTGCCCTGCTTGGTGCAGCACCAATGCTTCTTCTCTGGTGACCATGCCTTTGTTGGTTGGCTTGCTGGTGTGGCATCACACTCAAAAACACTTAAAACATCAAACGTGCTACCCAATTCCAATCCATGGAACGGCATGCCATGTCTTCTTGGTGGCGCCAAGTTGCTCGGAAGAAATTGTTCAACGCCGCATTGCAGTCGAAGGGATCCTTGCCAGCATGAACTTCACAGCCAGCTTCCTGCTTCACATCCGGTCAAGCCAAGTGTTTGGGCACATGTTCTCCTGATTCTCCTAACAAGTCCAGTCATGACTCATTGTACACGTGTCTGCGCTCACGTGAGCGCTGACACGTCGTGACTAACCCCACTGGGGTCGTTCACGTGTGAACACTGTGTTGAATATAGAGTCCCTCGCACCTGGATCGAGCAGCCACGACACACGTCACATTCGACCTGCACTCGGCTGTAGGCCAGGTTGCAGGCAGCTTCCTGGGGAAAGAGACGCATCTGCGTCTGCCCCAACGCCATGAGTTGGAGCGAACTCAAAGGCCTACCAACTGGCTCTTTTCCAACGAAAACGCGGCGCATCCAGTTTTGGGTGGAGAAACGGCACCTTGCCCGAGTAGGTGTTCTTGGTGACCCATTGAATCCGTTCCAGGCAAGTACTCGTCTGTCCTGACCGGCATGCCATTCGGCGCGTGCGGCGGCCATTCGGAGAGAAACCGAAGATGTCGACGATTCTTTTCCGTTGTCAGATACCATCTATCTGGCAGAGAGGATGCGCTGAATGGATCGGAATGGGTTTTTGGTGACGTCCTTGATCTTGCTGCATAGCTTAGCCTTGCAGAGCCTTCCCGTGCTTAGCCTTGCCGAGCAGAACCGCCCCGGGTTCGTTATGAGTTTCACGTCCCGACGCGTCCGGCTCGACGGTCCCGAGGGTCCCGACGGCCCGTCCTTTCAGTGTGCAGGGCGTCTTGCACTTCAAGGGAGACAAAGTGGTGCGTGGACAACCTCCCGAGAGATGGATTCGAGCGCCGGTTTCCCACATGGCACGGGGCACGGGCGGATCGGTGTGCATGTGATGTCCCCGAACTTCTCCAGCAAAAAGAGAAACGCTCTTAATGGTGTTTGTTATATATATATATACATATATGGTTCACATCAACATGCCTGAGCTGGACACTAGATCCATTTCTGTGTGCCCTGGAGCTCAGATCATTTGCAGTGGACATGTGGTGCCATCATCAAAGCTGCATGTGTTCGATTTTGCCAAATCGGCCTCCATCCACTTCCGCCCTGAGCTTGACTGCACATTTGGGTGGGATTGCACGCATCTTTTTTGTGGTGCGTTTTGCGGCTGGAATCAGGCCACCGAGTGGCTACCGAATGCCGGCTTTGGATTTGCAGTGGGCCGACAGGTCTTTGTAGACATTGATGAAACTGTCCTGCAACTGTGTAGCACCAAGCACAAGATGGAGATGCTTCGACGCCCCCTCAAACCGAGTCAGCCGTGGAATCCAGCGAGCAAGATTGCACTCCTGGGCGATGTGGGTGACCCCACCATTCCATTCGCCCACAGATGCCAGGTGAACCTGATGTGCACGCTCTCGCCCCCATGTCAATCATGGTCGAAAGGAGGCAAGTCCGGAGGCTGAGAGGACGAGAACGGCTGGTCCTTCGTGAAAGGCCTTGAGCAAACCTTCGCCTTACAGCCGATAGTGGTTTGTGCAGAATGTGTGGACGAATTGGCTTCCCACACTCATTTTAAACTTGTACAGAGCCTTGCAGCTATGTTCGGGTTTAGATTGCTGTGGTCACAGATCGTTCCGTATCACGAGCTTGCTAACCATTTTCGCTCCAGATGGTTAGGTGTATGGGTTAGAGGCGACACCTCCGCACAGCCACTTGGATTTGATTTGCCTTGTTCCATTGCACCCAGGGTCCCATGGAATGATGACAGATATCAATTCCAACTTCCGAAAGTGTGGCAAGACCAGATTCGCTTGAGCCAGTCAGAAGCTGCCATTTACAATGATCCACGCTTGCTTCCTCCGGCAAAACGTGCCAAAATCGAAACCTCAGATCAACTGGATGCAGTTCTACGAGGCCGTGTTGCGAATCCGAACGAACCGTTACCTACACTTTGTGCCTCGTACTCAGTCCAACATACTCTTGCTCCCGCTCATTTGCAAAGCAAGGGTATTTTCGCAGTTCTCAAGCATCAAGAGGGAACCTACTGCTTCCTTGACCCTGCACATTTCTGTAGTCTCTTTGGAGCCGTCTATGAGCTACTGTTGCCAAGCAAGTTATCGCTGGCCTTCAAGATTGTTGGCAACGCCATCACGGTTCCACATAGCCTCTTGTGCATGTGTGTTGGGTTGTATGCCATCCTTCCAGAAGCAATTGACCCAGTGTGTGTCATGCGAGAAGCTTGGGAGCATCGATTGACTGCTAGGACAGCCGTCCTTTTCGAGCAAGGCCCTTTCGTTCGACTTGTGCCCATTGCCTCTGTTCGTCAGCTCTTGACAACTAAGGTCATCCTACCTGGACAAGGTGAATGGCGTATCCTGCTTACGACCGAAAGTGGCATCATGTGTGAAGCCCGTGCAGCCTCCATCGCCTCCCTTGTCAAGGTTCTTGAGAATGAGCTTGGGATTCCTCTGGGTATTCTCCACCAATGCTCACTGCATGCAGGTGGTCGTGTGTGCCCTTCCTCCTTGAGCATCCGAGAACTTGCTGCCATTGCCGAGAAGTGGAAGCTACAAATTGGAACCTTGTGCATTGCTGAGTGTTGCCTGGCCTTGCAGCCTCTTCATCCGCCGCCAGCTCCTGCCATGATCCATGACACATCCTCGGCAACGGCACCCATTCTCAACAGCGGTGTTTCTGCCATTCCGGTGACAATTCCGGGTACAATCGAAAGTTTTGGTCGACAGGAGGTCTTTGTCAACATGCTCGAGGTCTTCAAACCCATCGCTTTTGTCAAAGGCAAAGCTGGCTTCAAGGTCTACATTGTGCATCATGCGTTGCCTGGAGCTTTGCAACTCAGGTGTGACCAAGCTAACTATGATGCTCTCCTCGCTGGTCTGCGACGCCTCACCGCAACCAATGAACGATTGGTCTCTACGCTGGCCTTTGATTATGAGGAAGACGTCAGTGCTCCTTTTCGAGTCATTCACATCTTCGATGTCCCCAGCATTGATGTTGTGACTGCTACTGTCTGTATCCCTCCTGAGGAACATCTTGCACATGTTGAAGTTGTCGCCACTGACGGGATCCTGCCAACTTTTTCTTACAAGGACACCCTGCATGAGGTTGCTCAAATCAACGGAGTACCAAGTGAACAACACATCGGCCCGCTGCAGCATGGCTCCTTCCTCAGCCTCCGACGATGTGATGAGATTCGTGCAGGTGGGCATCACCTGGCTTCTGGTGCGACTCCTACTCTTCGGGCTGGAGCCGATTTCCAGGCTAGAGCAGAATATATGTGCATCACCCATGGATGGATTGCTGCAGATGAGTTATGGAGCATCACCCAAAACATCATGTTCATGCAGGACACGTGCAAATTCACAGCACCGGTGTATTGGAACCAGCAGGATTCTGATTTCACGTTGTCGCCCTTTGGGGAACTCTTCCTCTTCAACAACACGACCAATGTGATTTGTGTCTTGATTGACGACCACTGGGCTGCAATCGAGATCTGCAGGTCGGCTGATTCAGCGCACTTGACATTCGTGCAAATGCCGCAGCACCTCCAAAATGCTGCCACCTGTGTTGTTGCGAGGCTTTTAGATATCGCTCCACACAGGCTGACTACATCCAGTGAGCATGAAGCGCACTTGCCCCATCTCTGCGGTTGGAGATTAGTACAAAGGTGGGTCCAAAGGTTTGACCTCGAGAACGAGTTTCAACCTGAGACGTTTGCTGGAGTCGCAGATCGCTTCCATGATATCATCACAATGACTATGGAATGTGCACTGGAAGATTGGAGGACATACAATGCTCCGCAACCATTGATTCGTCTGGCTGCCCTCCTGCGTAAGAAGTTCCTGATCTTTTTGGCTCGTCGTGAATCGCAGCAGAATCCGATCCCACAGAAAGCGCTCCTGGCAGCCTTCCCTGTGCGATTGCAACCTTTGTCCTCTGCAGTTCCCTCTCTGCCGCCTACAGCTGAGGAAGTCGCTGCCGAACGAGTTGCAGCCAGATTGGAGCACATGCTTACTTACAGTGGTTGGATGGCCTCAGATGAAATGGACTTCTCCCTCGATGTTGCCCGAGTCATCCAACCTGGGACGCTCTTTTGCGCACCGGCCATTTGGAATTTGACCACGCGTGTCCTTGAGTTCCCCAATGGCTTGTTCCCATGTTATGGCACTTACGACCATGTCATTTGGATGGTCATCCACAACAACCACTGGCTCCAGTTTGAGTGCTACCGGAGGGGAGCTGATTCAGTCTTCATTGCATCAGTCCCGGTTCACCAGCGAGGCATCTATGTGCCTTTGATCCAAGAGTTGCTACGACAACTTGGCCTCAACCACCAGAGCATCGCCATTGATTTTGTCGACCAGACAATGCCACGTGATCTCTGTGGCTACTATCTGTTGGCGAACATCTTCTACCGGCTTGGCCTACTGACTCCGCCTCCTCTTGATGTCCATGACCACTTCCTTGCACAAGGGCCTTTTGCATTCCTGATCGCTCGTGTCCGCCGAGAAGCCAGAAATACATGGATCAGAGCTGAAGGCCTTCCTGACTTTGCAGTCTTCGCTGCCAACATTCGGGATTGGTATCTGCTTCGTGTGAAGTCCAACCGCTTTCCGGACATTTACTATGCTGCAGGGGCTATCCAAGAGATGCAAGTCGACCCTCAAGTACCACCACAATCCGGCAATGCATCAGCCCCCAGTCGCGCTGCGGGACCTTGTGCAGCTGCCAAAGGTGTCGATCCTGTCTGGGTCAATGACCCTTGGGGGCGCAAACCCCCACGACCAGCTCAGTGCAAGTGGGAGGATTTGCAGATACAACCTGAGATCCCCTTTCTCGGCTCGGACGGGAATGCGTTGCAACAAACACACAGATTGCAGGTTGGACCAAATCGAGGAGGCATTGTGCTGTTGACCAAATCCTTCTTACCGGATGTCTCCAAGCAGACTGGCAAACAAGACTTGGCTGTGCTGCTTCCAGTCACGGACAACATGCACCTCCCTCATTTGGCTGCAAAGATCGAAGGCCCTTACGAAGTTGCAATGTACGATGAGGCAGCCAAACTGTCATACAAACGGCTGACCAATCTGATTGTCCTCCAGGGCAAATGCACCTTCAAACTGCCAGAACCCAAGTGCAAAATCACCACCCAGGCAATGTGTGAGCTTGTCCTCGAAGTCGATTCTCGCTTGTGCACCAAGATTGAGCTCGAGAAGATTAGGGAAAGTCCGATTGCCGCTTTTCGCGACCTGGTCTCCAAGATTGTCACAGCTCTGGATTCTGCAATCGTGCTCTATGGATTCCGCTCTACGACACATCCGGGAGCTTCCAAAGGTGACACCATCCTTCAGTGTATCATCAAGGCGCCCCAAGCCCTTCGTGTACCACTCCTGGAAGCAAGCGGTGCATCCATTCTCCTGGTGAGGGACTTTCTGGAACGTGGACAAGCATCATCGGACACAACGATCCTGCCACGGTTTTGGACCACAAGCATTTCTGAGCTCCACAGCATGCGGATTGCCCTGAAAGATGCCCCTGGCCAAGCTGGCATCATCGTTGCAAGGAGAGGGCTTGCCCCACGCGTCTGGATTGCCAAAGTCAGTGAGGCGAGGAAGACACTACTTGCGGCAGATGGCAGGATCGTTGAGGCCAACCGCCACGTCATCCCGAGACTTGTCTATGAGCTTGCAGGCTGGCCGGCTGGCACAGATGCAGCCAACATTGTCCAATCCACCATCGACTCGACTGGGGTCGCTGTATTGCCAATGAGGACGTTTCGCAATGCCGGAGTGCATGTCTGG